CCACTATTTGGAACAGACTGCCACAAGGCCATGAAACAATGAAAAGTCCTAACCTGGTAACAACCTCTTTTACTGAAAATATTTCCAGAGCTTCAAAACAACATTACTTAATATTGAGAAAAACAGGATTGAAATTTCCCTCTCTAAACATATAATCTTAATAATTTTGAGTGCATCAGAAAGGAATTAATGATATTTTCATCTTTAAAATGTTCATCTTGACAAGGCCAGCAATTTAAATTGATCTCTGCTCTAACATTATCTTGGCCTTTGACAAATATTTATTTTAATAGCTTATTTTCTTACATTATATAACTTAGTTCTTTTGCACATTTTATTTTCTTAAAAAGGAAAAGTATTAACATTCAGCTGGTCATTTTGGATAATTATTTCCAAATGATCTTGATTAGTTAGTCTTTTGTTATCTGATCCTATTCTTTTCTTTAACATAAATGAGTGATACATGAGGGTTTTACTGAATAATAAACATAAATGTCGCATTTCAAACATGTTAAGTTGTAGAGTTAACCAAGGGATAAAGCAGTATTTTAATTTTATCATTTTGCTTCTTGTATGTTTAAGACTATAATGTAATTTTATCATTTCCTCTTCTCTTACTTCCCCCATAACTCTCTTTGCTCTCTTTCAAATCCCTGGCCCTTTTTTATTAATTGTTGTTACATTCATATGTCTTATATTCATATATTCTTAAACATGACCTGCTCAGTCTGTGTAACGTTACTTGAATGCATGTTTTCAGGGCAGAGCATTTGGTATTCGGAACCAATTGGTGTGCTCTTCCCTGAGGAAGACAATTTCGGCTGCCCTCAGCATTCTGAGGATGCACTTAGGTCTTTGTGGAGGGTGGAGGCTTTGTTAATTGATGGAGGAGATGAAGTACTGCAGAGAGCTCATCTAAACTTAACTGTAAACCAGCACACCATAGTGAGCAACTAGTGTAAGTGCATCCAAAATCTGCTATATAGTTAGACATGAGTTTCTGATGATTTCTTTTCAATCAATGCAATATTCCCTGACTGAAGATTTAAGGGTCAGGATGTGAGTAAGATTGGATTTTTTGGTCTACATGGTATCTGTCTTCTTGGTGCATTAAGGTTAAAGGAAAGTACAATGTGAATGTGGTCATAAGTAAAAGATATGTAGTCTCAATAATATAAACACGGCATTCTGTCATTTGGATGTCTGTGAATATTTTTTACCAACATCACCCTAAAGCGTTCCATTGCCCTTCAGCATCACGACATGCAATGCATTTTACTTGAACTTTCCTCTTAGGTACAACCCTCATAATAGCTCTCAAGATCATTCAGAATGCATTGTAAATTCAATTTATAATTAAAAAGTCTGTAGTTCTAGTGTAATTCCTAGCAATATAGTAAACAGAGATTAAATGCTAAGAAAAAAGCAAAAAGAGATTATTCAGAATAATTTATATATTTAACAGATGAAGAGGTGGAGGTATTCATCAATTACAGGACTCTATAGAATGCAGGTTTAAACTAAAGAATATCTGAACGGGAAGCATCTGCCTTGGGCCTCTGCCAAACATGGCTTCTCAGGTATTGGACAGGATATAGAAATCAATGGAGGGCAAAGGTCAGCTGTCACCATGGATGTATTTGATTAACACTTGAGAGCTAAGCTTGCTGTAACCTCCAACTTTTCTTTGTAATTCTCCCCCACTTTGTTGGATCTCTGCCAGGGAAGAAAATCTTTTTGCTTGTCTACCTGCACATATGTCACTGGACTTCAGCAAAGAAGAATCTCAAAATTCATGATGCCACTAGCTGTCCTTCTGTTTCATCTTGGCCAACCACTTGCAGAAGTGTTCCACACTGATGAAAGTCGGCATGTGATCACACAAACTTGAGACAAGCACACTGTCATTAACAAAATGTTCCTGGATCTACGAGTTGAGCTCATTATAAATAATTAGTAATTTGAGAGCTAAATACAGGAATGAAATATTCAAATGTGTGCTCATAATCCAAACAAGTAAATAAATGTTCACCGGAAACTTAAATAATAAAGTAATATTTTAGCCCCAGGCAGCAACACGATGGCTGGGGCAACTGATTAGTGACCAAGGCTAACCCCTAATACTTCCTTCATCTTAGAACATGACTCATTGTATGAAATTCCTTTCTATCAGCCTGATTGTTCAGAAGTTCATCCAGCTAGGGCTCATTACAGTGCCCTGGGGAGAATACTATAGGTAGGCCTTCTGGAGATTTTCTGCTTCTCTTCTCTCCTACCCAAGAGCAAATCTCTAGTAGCCCATGAAATATAGCTTCATATTGGCTTTGATGATATGATTTGAATGTGGAAACAAAGCTTTCTGAACATTCTGCTTATGTGGCCAAGCTACCAATGGCTTCCTGCTGTCTCTTGCTTTCTGACACTCACCTGTGGTACTGCACACTATAGAAAACTAATATGCTTTACTTTAGCAGTGTCTCTATTGCTAGCAGTCCTGAGACTTCTTCTCTTCCTTTCTAATTTATACTTAATTACTAAAGGCATATCATTTTCAGAAAGTATCCAGGGTTGAGGAATGGTACAGGATAAACTGACCAGATGACATTCTCAAGGACAATAAAGGGATGTTAAGCTGCTGCTGGCTTCCTACTTTCCACTGCCTCCTCCCTTTTAACATCTTAATCTCTTTTTAGCATTCAGTATTAGAGGATTGTGTCTGTGCAAACAGTCCCTGCATCTTTCAGAGATCAATAAGGGATGGAGTAGGCTCTTCAGCCAGTGTGGTCCAGCTTCTCCCAGCTGCACAGCCTCACTCAGATGCCAGCCATGCTGCCAAGTTCACCATGACAGATGGTGAGGATGATGTGAGATACCAGCAATGATTCATTTCCCCAGATGGCAACGGAGCCGCATCTGGATCAAGCCAGAAACCACCCTGCCTGCCAGGACATTTTAGTGTCAACTTCAATCTCACATCCAATTGTCAATTTCCCTCTTCTTTCCCAGTCTGCATAGCCACCAACATCTGAGCCAAGTGTGGGTTTCTATTCCATGCTAGGTTTTATATCATAAAACTCAATCAGTATTTTAATTCTACAGGTTGACAAAAACTGCTCATAGAGTTTGTTGATACATTACGTATATTTGCACAGTTTTGAAATTCTACC